AAAAAAAAAAAAAAGCAAAACAGCAGGGGGGGGGGAGGGAAGCTGTCAAGAAGGAAAACACCCCTCCACACTATTAATATAGTTCAGTGTTTCTCAACCTTGGCAAGTTTAAGATGCTGGCTGGGGAATTCTGGGAGTTGAAGTCCACCCATCTTAAACTTGCCAAGGTTGAGAAACACTGATATTGATATAGTGATCACTCAGCTGCTCTATGACCTTAATAAAGATCTGATTTGATCTGATCACTCAACTATAATTTATACTGCGGTTTGTTTCTCCATAATAGGCTGCTTGTCAGCTGACCCCATCTTTGAATGGTAGGCAACCTGGCTCCCAGGGGCACCGTTGCGCTTCATCGACCTTGGTGCCCACCAACTGTTCTGCCCAGGCTGGCTTTAACTTTTTCACGTTTGTGCCAGAAAGCTGGCAACGCACGGCCACCAACTTGCCTGACCCCAACAGCAGCTTGATGACCTCAGTCCCCAAAGGTATTCTTCCAAAATGTAAGTGCGTGTGTATGTAGGAGTGTGTGCAGTTCAACATTTTCCTGGGAAATCCACCCACTTTCCCAGAAAAAATGGTGAACGTTTGCTGAGCTGGTGGAGAAATTCTTCAGTGGTCTGGAACGGAGGGTAGAAGTTTTGTCTTCTGCTAAAAGTATGTTTTGGGACTGACTCTGCTTACCCAGGCAGTCATTTTGTGAGTGTGCCCCCCCAAAATCCCACAAGGGTGCAATCCCCCAAACATAAATGCCTCCCCAAGGTAGGACGTGTGCTATTGTGCAGTGGGGCGAGGAGGGGAGAGAAAGGGGCAATTTCTGATGTTCGGAAATGCCTCCTACATCATTCTTATGACCACCCTTCAGGCCACTGACCAAATCTTTCCTCTCAACTCCATGATCCGTCATTACTCATAAATTCTGAGCATTAGAGCACATGATCCGATTTCCACAGACACACCAGGAGGCCTAAATGTTTTTCCCGGGAGCGGGAGGTCAGCAGTTCGTTGCGCAAACCAGAAAGAGGCTTTTGTCAGCTAGAAGGACCCAAAGAGGATGCCCGTTGTCCCCCTGTGTCAGTCAAGACACACAAGCCCAGCCCCGAACATTGGTGGGGGCATGCATGGTGAGAGACAGAAACTCTGAGCTTCACGGGAAAGAGACACTGGCGTACACGCGCAAGAAGTGTGTCCGTTCTAATGTGGGGAGGGAGTTTAGAAAAAACGGCATTAGGTGTGTTTTGGCAGCAAACCCCTTCTAAATTCTTAAGAAGGGTGTGAGCCTGGCAAGCAAAGGACGTACAGTGGACTCTGTGCCCGGCCCCATCATGGAGGGCAGCGTCCCTGAAGGCTTTCTTTTAGCCGACACAACTCAGCCAGGGCGACGGGCTGGGTTGGCGCGCATGTGTGCATGTACATACTTCCAGTGCTCCTGCAGAGGAGATTCTCAGCAGGCTGTATCACATGGGTGTGAGTGTGTGTGTGTGTGAGAGAGACACACACACGTACACAACTGAGTCACTGGGCTTGGCACAGCCTGCACACATCCCCCCGGCCCCTCCAAGCCCTGGCTGAAAGAATGGAGGCATCTGGGTCAGGAGAAGGAAATGTGCTGGGCCAGATTCCCAGAAGAAAGCTGAATGTGTGAGTTGCGTTTGACGTCTCTTGGCCGTGAAGTTTGCAGGCAGCAAAGAGGTGGAGAAGGAGGGCACGCAGAGGGGGCAGGGGGAGGCCTCTGCTCAGGGCCGGGGACCCTCTCCCTGGATTAGGGTGGCTGCCAAAGATTTGTCTGCCAAGCGCAGGTTTAATTCCCCTGCCGATCAGCCTTAGCCTGGACGGCCTTTCCGATCTGGCGGGGCTCACTTCCTGGGCGAAACCACGGTGTGCCGTGAATACACTGTGTGCATTGATGCATCCCACGCTGGCCCCTAAGCCGCTGTTTACAAAGCAGGAGGCTGGATTCACACAGTGCGCTAAGACGTTTGGCTGGCTCTGACTGCGCCTGCTGAGCACACCTGACCTGTGTGGTTTGCACAGTCCACCACAGCTTGGCCCACGGGCTGCCTCCAGAGGCCTCCTGGAGGCAGCGTAACCTCCCTGGCAGGAATGTTGTGAAGATAAAATAAAAGGGGGTAAAAATAAAACGAACCTTTGTAAGCACCCTGGCAAGCATGACCCGTGGTGCACTGACCTACTGTCTCCCCGTAGATTCTAGCCCACAGTTGAACATGGGAGCCACAAGCATTATTCACAGACGGAATGAACAAGTGGGGCCAAATGAGATTGTGGCCACAAATCCATGGCCAAACGGTACAGATGCCACCCGCCCCTTGCCGGCTCTTACCTTCGATTTCCACTTTTAAATCCTCCCGTTTACTGTCACAGGAACAATGAGTACTGAGTCGAAATCTTCCCAGAATGTCTGAAATGCACACGTGTGGATCTGGGGTCAGGTTGGTAGCCCTCGACCTATTTCAGAGAAGCCCCTCTCCCAAAAGCAGAAGCCTTGAATCCAAATGCCCTTAAAGCAAAATGTCTCCGCACATTTCAGGGGAAAACTCTGATCAGATGCGCCCTTCACCTTCAGAGCAGATGCATGGACTTCAACTCCCAGAATTCCCCAGCCAGCATGTTGGCTGGGGAATTCTGGGAGTTGAAGTCCACCCATCTTCAAGTGGCCAAGTTTCAAAAACACTGGTTTACCCCATTCCTTCTGGTAGATGGGTGGCGATATAAGTGTATTTAATAAATAAAGACATTTAAAATCCTTTTCATGATAAAGGAGGTGCAAATATCTGGATTAAGTGTTCCCCTGGTGCAATTTGGTTTTGAGATTAGATCTCCAATCTCCCATCTCCCCCAGCCAGTCCATTACAGAAGGAGAGCCATGTTTAGTGGCCAAAAATCAGCAATTGGGGAGCACCTTTTCCAACTTGGACATTTTATTCAAAGGCATCAGCTTTGGTGAGCTGCAGTTCGCTCCATCTGATGTGATGATGGTGAGGAGGAGGAGGAGGAGGAGGAGGAGGAGGAGGAGGAGGAGTTTGGATTTATTAGCCCCCCCCCAACTCCAATGGGCTCTGATGATGATGAACCCGGCCAAGAACACCTCTAACCTCGGACAGGGGGTCGGGGGATCTGGGTCCTAAAAACTGCAGCCAGTTTTTAAATGCTCAGTGAACGCTGAATCCATGCCCCAAAGAAAGCCCAGAAGACAGAGGGCTGAGCTAGTGTTGCATGGGCTGGACCCCATACCAAGTACAAATCACTGGGCAGGCCCCCCCCCATATTGTGGTCTGGAAAGCCCCTCCAACTGCCTGTGTCTGCCCTAAACAATATCTCCCTGCAATCAGCAAATGGTCAGGGGCTTCCATTTCATGTCATTGATCCATTTATTTATTTATTTATTTTTCCCTGCAGCTGCCCAGCTTGCAATTGGGACTCAGGGCAGGGAAAGACAGGGTGGGTGGGTGTTGCTGCTCGCAGAGCTGTCCAGCCAAGGAACCTGCTTTGGCTCGTGGCAAAGCTTCCCCATCCCCAAAATGAGTAGATTTCATCGGCTCCCGTCAGCAACCAAGCCCAGGTCAATCGCAGCCCCAGAACCTCTGGAATTCAACCCCCCAGGAGTACAAACCAGCTGCAGGGTTAACTGTCACATTAAGGTGGCAGGAAACCTGTGACAACTGTGACGTAAGTCCTAATGTCATTTTCAAAGGCAAAGGAAAAAAGAAATTTAAAAAAAACCCCACCTCCTCAAAAGTAAGAAGAAGTGAAATGAAAACAAGGAAGGAATATCAGTCCACGTGTATGAGTGAGGCCCACTGTGTGTGACTGCTTCACCCACTATGTGGGTCCAAAATAAAGCAAAATAAAACACTTCCATATTTCCAGAAGTGTCTCACGGCCTTCCAAATTTCAGGGAATGGGAATCTAAACTAAGAGTGGAGATTCACTTGCCTCATTTCAGTGTTTCTCAACTTTGGCAATTTTAAGATGGGTGGACTGCAACTCCCAGAATTCCCCAGCCAGCATGCTTTAAGATGGGTGGACTGCAACTCCCAGAATTCCCCAGCCAGCATGCTTTAAGAT